GCCCGCCCCAGCGCCAGGACCCTGAGTGCCTGGTTGGACCCTGGATTGCATCGTGCCAGATAAACGTGTCCCACGCAGCGTGGGGACGCAGCCAAGCGGGACTCCCGGGTTTGCATTTGGCACCAAACGTTTTGCCTCTCAGCAAACCAAGAAGATTCCCCCTCGCTGGCAGAGCCTTGGGGTGAACACATCCCACTGCTCCGCACCGCCCGGCCCATGCAACGCGCCTGCTCCCGGGGCTGGGGGGGCTGCAGACGCTCCCCGGGCACGTACCTCCCACGGGAGCCAGCAGCTCCCGTCTCACCGGGGCGATCCCCAGGGACACACGGGCAAACCCCAGATTTCTCCTTCCCCATGCACGCTTCCAGCGGCAGCCCAGGTTGCGCCCATCACCCCGGCATCAGGTCGGGCTCTGCGGCGTGTGGCAGGCGCAGCTTCCCCGGCCCCGGCGCTGCCTTACCAGGGCCGGGGCTGCAGCAGAGGAATGATTTTCATGCCGCTTACCTGCGGGGCGTTCCTCCGCCGAGGCCAACACTGCTGCCAGTCGGTGCTTGCCCGCGGTGGGAGTGCATCGGTCGGTGCGAGAGGCGCCAGCACCGCGTGAGTCATCATCCCTGGGCTCCTGGGAATGAGGAGGAGATTCCAGGGGGAAGGGATGGGGTTCGAGGCAGCTCCCCACATGTCCCATAGGCTGCCAGGTTTCCCAGAGCGCAGGGTTGCACCAACGGCGTGCAGGGGCCCAATCCTGCAGCCGTGCAGGGAAGGGCTGCATTGGCCGCCCCAGCGTGGGGAGCGCTCAGGGTGCCTGCACCCAGCTGCCCCAGGAAGGCCGGGATGCCCAGGACACCCTGGGGTCCCTCTAGCCCCTTCGCTTGCTCAGACCTGCAGGGGTGGGGGTGGCAGAAGCCCTGGGAGCACCCGCCCAAGGCACCTGGAGCCGCTCAGCCAAACACCTCCCTTCACAATCCCTTTTTACTCAAACTTTGCACCGTGGCAGCAACTTCAGAAGAGCCTTTACCCCTCCTCGCCTTCTGACGAGGGGGTAGCAGCTGATTATTTCACTGGGAATTAATTAGCCACTTTTCCTGCCCTCCCCTCACCTGCAAGCTGGCCCAAGCCTCTTCCCCATCACCTCCTCCCCATTGCCAGAGCCCGGGAGCCCTCCCAGGATGAGCCCCCAGCTCAGAGAACCCCCTCTTTGCATTTCGACCCCTGGCTCACAGCTCTGGGGCGCAGGGGGGAGCACGAAGCAAGGGTGGGGGTGGAAGGAGCGGGCGCCGCTGCATGGGGCACGAGAGCTCAGGTACGGCTGGAGTCATCTGAGGAGCAAACACACGTTTCGTTTGCAATTCCACTGGGTTAAAAAAAAAAAATGTAGAGAAACAAATCTAAACAACTGTAAAGTAAATTACCACTGTTTGCGGATGGCTCCGGGGAAGAGTTCTGCACTTGCAAATCAAACAAAACCTTTTTTTTTTTTTTTTTTTAACATGCCTGCATGGTGGCCGTGCTGGGGGGGTTCTGGGGCTGCGTTCCCCCCCCCACGGGCAGGCCGGGAGGGCACGGAGCAGCACCCATCCCAGCGGTTCGTCCCCAGGCACCCTCAGGCTTGCGGGTGTCCGAAGGGGCTCTCGTAGCTTGCTGCTTTCTGGGTTCAAATCCCCTCTTTTGCGGAGCTGCCAGACACGATGGGCAGTTTCTGCCGGCGCTGGGCTCCAGGATTGCATCGTCCCTGACAAACGCGTCCCACGCGGTGCCGCCCCTCCACAGCACCCCATGGCTCTTCTGGGAGTGTGGGCACCGCCACCGTGACCCCCCTTTGGTGGCAGGACGAGAGGGCGAGCGGCCGCGCAGCTTTCCTCCGCAGGTCAGGGCTCTCCGGCTTCGCCGAAGTGGAGATCAACCCCCGGCAAATACCTGGTGGAGGCACAAAACCAATTAAATGGGGAGAGAGAAAAACACCGAGCGAGGTGAAGCAAGAGCTCTGCTGCCGCCTCTCCCCCCCGAGCAGCCGAGGGCTGACGCCAGCCAGCGAGGGCCACGGCGGGGAGCGGTGTGCTGCGTCCTCTGCCCTGGGCTGACGGGCACAGAGCTCCCGCAGCCGGAGCTGCCGTCCCACCGCTTGAACTTGCTGGAGATTTCAGTTTGCCAGAGGCAGAAGTGGGGTGCTGAAGGCTGCACCCTGCCCCAGCCAGCCCCTGTGAGTCCACGGCGCCGGGGACGCGGAGGTGTGTTAATGGCAGCACTCCATCTCCCAGGAACAAGCCCCATTAGTACATTTTCGCTACAACATGAAATATTAACAACACTTTGCATTTCTATAGCGTCATTCATCCAGGAGTCACCAGCCAAGCTCCTGACATGAATCAAACACCACAGCCAGCTCCGGAGGAGGCAGGTCGGTGGGATTATACCCATTTTCCTGCTGCACATACTGAGGCACGGGGTTTCCTCTGGTGCACTGGTGCTGTGTGCCGATGCCTGCCACGGGTGAGACCACCAGCATCCTGCTGCCTGCTGCCCGAGGATGCCACCGCTCCAAAGCTCGTGGGGCCGCCTGCCCTGCGTGGGGCACCTCTGCCCGGCCCGCTCGCTTTGCGGGCAGCTCCGCTAGCGCCGGTCAGGAGTTGCTGTAGACAAGCAAAACGCTTCCTTGGGCCACTGGCACGTTGCTTTTTCCTTGGAGGTTTTGGAATTGCAAGAAAAGTTTTTCCGCTTTGTAAAATAGTAATGACAACAATAACAGTAATAACAGCCAGAGCTTTTTTTGGTCCTTTTGGTCCCTTCCTTGACAGACTTTGCAGATGTGAAGCTCAGCAAACTTCATCCCTGTTTCTTCACACCCCCCAGCCCATCCGGAGGCTGCTCCGCAGTGCGGGAAGCCAAGGGCATCGTTGCGGGGGGGTGTTTCACAGCATCTCCCGTCCCCCCCCCCGCAGCTCCTGCGGGGTGAGCTGCCCAGCACCACGCGGGCGATGTGTTCCTGCTTTCTCCAGCCCATCTTCTCGGCCCATTCTTCTTGCTTCTCGGCCTTTTGGCTAAGATCACGTGTACTATCTGTTCTTATCAGTTTAATATCTGATACGTCCTCACTGAGAGGACTTCATATTAAATGGATTTTTGGGGCTGGGAGTTGGACCCGGAGCTTGCTCCCTCTGTTGTCATTTATTTTAGAGCTACAAAAATGCCCCGAGGGCTGGAGCCCCTCTGCTCTGAGGCCAGGCTGGGAGAGTTGGGGGTGTTCAGCCTGGAGAAGAGAAGGCTGCGGGCAGAGCTGAGTGCGGCCGGTCAGGGCTTCAAGGGGGCCCAGAGGAAAGGGGGGGACAAGCTTTTTAGTAGGGCCAGCTGGGACAGGACAAGGGGGGATGGCTTTAAACTGAAGCAGGGGAGGTTTAGACTGGATCTAAGGAAGAAATTCTTTCCAGTGAGGGTGGTGAAACCCTGGCAGGGGTTGCCCAGAGAGGGGATGGAGGCCCCATCCCTGGGAACATTCCAGGCCAGGTTGGCCGGGGCTGTGAGCAACCTGATGTGGTTCAAGGTGTCCCTGCTCCTGCAGGGGGGTTGGGCTGGGTGAGCCTTCCAACCCAAACCATTCTATGATTCTATGATCTTCAGGAGCGGGTGCCTTCGCCGGGGGTGCCAGCAGCCAGGTTGGGGCACGCTGGGCTGCCAGCACACCTTTGGGGGTTATTGACTTGGATTAAAAATAAGAGTCAAGGAAGGAAATGTGTTTTAAATTCGTGCTGTGAAGAGTGAGCTGTCTGGGTCCTCTCTTTGGAGAAGGACCCCGTGGGCATGGGGCTGTTCTCCAGGACCATCTGAGCTGAGCTTCACCAGCTCTGGGGACCGGCAGAGTCCCAGCAAATCCCACTCTCAGGCACTGCAGTGATCAGGCAGGTCCCGAGGTCTTTGCTTTGCTTGCAGTCAGGTGAAACCACCAGCGACAGCTGGGTTTTCTGCTGAAAAGTTTGGCTTTTGTTTAAAAAAAATCGTCCAACTGACCAAGTTTTGGGGGACATCACAGCCCAAACACACGTGGCCGGCAGCAGGTCCTGGGTGGCAGGGGCTGGCGCTGAGCTGCTGCAGCGTTGCCGATATTGTGCTGATGGGGCAGGGACCGGAGCCGTTCGGTGTGAAACCCATCAGCCCGCAGACAGCCAGGGCCTGACACATCCCGGGGGCTCCTGCGGCATGAAAGAGCAAGCAGAAAACCCGTGGGGAAAGGGCTGTTTTCATCTGATTAAAGAGCCTTATATTTAAAGCCTCCTTCAGGTCTGTAGCACGAGATGACGGCAAAGGCTTTTACACACTAACGCAGCAGGAGTCGCTTCTGCTTTTGATGCTGTCGCATGCAGATGCTGGTTAGCGGGGTGGAATCCCATTACTGATGCTGGGTAAATACAGAAAAACAGGCCCTGGGTGAAGTGCCAGAGCGGGCGGCGAGTGGCAGGGAAGCGATGCTCGCACAGCCCAGCCGCCCGCTGCTCCCTTTCCCCAGCACCGCTGTTATTCAAAGAAGGTGGCACCTTGTTTGCAGATAATTAAAAAAAAAACTCAAACAGATTAGAGAAAAATAAACACACAGAGCAGGCTGGCTGTTGGGCTAAACTGCTGGGAAAGCCGGGCAAGCGCCTGTCATCACTGTTGTGGCCAAACCGACTGCTCGGTGGCCAGGGCAACCCTGGTGCCCCCGCTTCCCTGGCTCCATCCGCCGGCCCGTGGTTCCCTGCTGCGCTGCAACCCATGCTCCCCCACCCCGGGGCTCACGCCGGGGGGC